ATGAAAATAAAATAAAAACACAATGGTTTCAATTAATATCATTAATTTATATTACAAGGCTATTTTAAAAAATATTATTTTAGCGAGTTAGATGATTACCTAATCATCTGACTTTAATTCAACACTTCCTTTAATTCAACCGAAAGCTCTGATCCCTTGGGGTGTTGAATTAAAGAGGTTCGACTGTATATATACAGTATAACCTCATTAATTCGACAAACGCAAATTCGACACTCTACCTTAATTTGACCATATTCTGATGTCCCGACCTCCGGCCTATCAAATAACAAACCGTAATTCGACAGTATCGATAATACGACACTTCCGATAGTTCGACCATTTAAAAATTCAAATTTCGACAGTTGAATGTTTTTTACATACAGCTTTACCGCTAAACGGTATTATGGCGGCGACGATCGGCATCGGCGGGGCCGATAGGATCACGCCTGCGCACATTTGGTTTCTGTTAGTTAAGTTTCACTTTGCAGTGCCGTTGCGCAATGTCGCGAGTGTTTTTTTTTTTTTTTACGCCGAAATTTAGGCTTTGTTCGCTAATTATTAATATTATTTTCTTTTTAATTTTCAGCATTGAAATATTTTAGGTATTTTAAAATTTGCAAATAATTTATTTTTAAATAAATAAACCTTCATAAAATGTAGCTACAATTATTATGATAACATTTTATTTCAATATTTCATTTCCATGTTATTATAAAATATTTAAACACAAAATCAATAACACCTGCAGCAGCAGTGGATGCCTTTAATACAATAAAAGCTCTTTGTTATTTAAAACACATTCCAGAGGAAGAAAGACATGCATGTTTTTTTTTTTTTTAAATAGGCCATCTGGAATACATTTTGAATAGGATTTCAGTGAAAAAGCAGACATCTATAAAGGAATTTTTAAAAAGATATATATATTCATGATTATTTTAAAATATTATTTTCAAATTTTCTTTTTATTTTCCATATTTATTTCCTTTCAACTGCTATATTCTTCAATTAGAATAAATTTTATTTGTAATTATTTATGCTTCAAAAATATGTATTATTGCCATTTTGTCCCCGATACTAAAAGTTAATCATCAAAATAAAAAAATAAATACAAAAAATTACCAACAATGGTTTCAATTAATATCATTAATTTATATTACAAAGCAATTTTTTAAAATGTTATTTTCGTGAGTTAGATGATTAGCTAATCATTTAACATTAATTCAACACTTCCTTTAATTCAACCGAAAGCTCTGATCCCTTGGGGTGTTGAATTAAAGAGGTTTGACTGTATATATATCTAAACTTGTATATAAATTCAGCATGTTATCATTGGCTAGATGTAGTACTTCTGGGTTTCCATGTTGAAGGGCATGTTAGACCGAAAGCTCAAGAAATAAAGAATTGTAAAAAGAAACCAAACCCTAGATTCCTTATTTATTTAGTCAAAAAGTAACAATTATTAGATAAGATTTGCATTGATAATTTCACATGGTTATCATTGCTTGTTTGTCCTGGATACCTTTTCATTTATCATGTAAATACATGTATACACTAATCAGCATAATTATGGCTTCTATGTATATCCCTGCATCATTATTCTTTTAATTAAGAGGTAATTTTTTTTTTTTTTTTTTAATTTCACTTTTCCTTTGCTTTAGAGGTGTGAATACTATGAGGGAAGGACAGTGTCTCAATAAATGCTTCATGTGTGTCAAATAGAATTAAATTACAATTTTTGAAGATAATTTCCATTTATTAAAAATATATTTAATATATAGTTTAAAAATATTTTGTGTTGAGAAATTTAACAAATTTCCAAACAAAAAAATAGTTTATATACATTTCTTCCTTATTTAATTTTCAAATAAAGCAATGGTCATTTTTGTATTTAGTCTAATTTTCATAGCGTTGAGAAATTTTTGGGTTATAGATAGATTATTAGAAATTAGTTTTAGAAAATAGCAAGAACAAAATGAAGAATCTCAAACTTTCTGGGCACAAATGAACACACACAAAACCCTTTATTAAGATGTATAGATTTATACATGGATTTACCACGATAGGCAAATGAAAAGAATAAAAAAGTAAAAACTAATCACATTTGATGGTGAAAAATGGATTTGATATACAGGAAAACTAAATTAAGACAATTTAGTTCATTATAGAAATTCTAAAAAAGGGGGTAGGTTCAGGCTTTTAATTAGTGTGAGTTCTAATATGTTTCCTTAAGTTGCTAGAGCTTATTGTTCTGTACTCACAGTGTGGACAAAGCTGAGGCTTTTCACCAGTGTGGGTTCTAATATGTGTTTTTAAGTGACTAGATTGATTTGTCCTATAATCACAATGGGACAAAGATGGGGCTTCTCACCAGTGTGGGTTCCAATATGTCTTTTTAAGTTACTAGATCGATTTGTCCTATAATCACAATGGGGACAAAGCTGGGCTTCTCACCAGTGTGGGTTCTAATATGTATTTTTAAGTGACTAGATTGATTTGTCCTATAATCACAATGGGGACAAAGCTGGGGCTTCTCACCAGTGTGGGTTCTAATATGTATTTTTAAGGTACTAGATTGATTTGTCCTATAATCACAATGGACAAAGCTGGGGCTTCTCACCAGTGTGGGTTCTAATATGTATTTTTAAGTACTAGATTGATTTGTCCTATAATCACAATGGGGACAAAGCTGGGGCTTCTCACCAGTGTGGGTTCCAATATGTCTTTTTAAGTAAAAGATTGATTTGTCCTATAATCACAATGGGACAAAGCTGGGGCTTCTCACCAGTGTGGGTTCCAATATGTTTTTTAAGTACTAGATGATTTGTCCTATAATCACATGGGGACAAAGGTGGGTTTTTCACCAGAGTGTTTTTGCTGGCGTGCTATCAAACTTTCCATGTATATTGTTCAAATTTTGAAGAATGAACAGGTATAATTTTTTTCTCCAGTGTGTTTGTGAGAAAAAATGCTTGATGTATTTAGGTTGATACAAGTGAGGAATTTTACATTAAATTGGTACACTATTTCTCCTTCAGTAGTGGCCAGAATTCTTGGCCTCTCTCAATGGAGATGCTGGATGTATTCACTGAGATATGCTGCACCAGACATTAATCATTAGCAAGAAATTATTTTAGGTTGTATAAAAAAAAACAACTGAAAATCAGGTTTCATGAGGTCAATATACTTTTTGATGTGATCATAGTTAGATTTTAAAAAAGCCAACCTGTATAACATGATTTCGGATTTGACCTTATTGTGTTGGTACATGAATAACATCATCCTGCAAACTATGTTAATAATATATTCATTGAAAATTAAAAAAAAAAACATATTCCCTGACTCCTCACAGTATTTTTGATGACACAGCACCATCTGGGTGAATATAAACTAACAATTTGACTAGATGGCGCTCTGCCATCTAAAATCCTCATGTGAGCCATCAGGGTTGGCCTTTTTTTATATCAGCAACTTTACCTATTTGATTTCTTATTTTCCCACCTATATATATATACAGTAAAACCCCGCTAATATGAACCCTGGAATAACGAACCTTCCCTTATAACGAACCCACGCCGATTCCCAATTCCATTCCATTGAAAACCATCGTTATAACGAACTTTGCGATTTTTGAATAACGAACTACCCCTATAACGAACCTATTTTCGGTCCCAAAATAATAAAATCTATTTAAAATACTATGCTTATAACAAACTTAGAATTGTAATAAAAAAAATTAAAACAACCAAATTTTGAGCATGTTTCAGCTCGCGGATCGCGATTTCAAAACAATACATTTAGCGGATTGTTTGTTTTGAATTTTGCACTTATTTTTACTGTATGCTGTATAAATTTTAACACATTATACTTTTTATTAAATAGAATATATTTGCATCCATTAAATTTGAAATATAAAAATACAAATGGCTTCCAAAATGAAGAAAACAAAGGCATTTTAAAAAAAAAGCGTTATTTCTTTTTAAAAAAAGGCCATTTTCAGAACTTTTCAAAGTGAAACAACACAGGCAAAATGTTAAGAACATATTAAAATAAGAGAATATAACTTTTCTATTATAAAAGATAAAATATAAAGCTATTAAAAATTGTTACAAAGAGGAATCAACCTCAACTTTTGCCGCGATCGCGATCGTACGTTTTAGGGCTAAAAAAAATCTAAAAATGGTCCCGTGATGATACAAAAACTATTTTTATGGCATTAACTATGGTGATTTTAAAGTCGGCAATGTTTTGCATGACAGGTTAAAAAAAAAAAAACTAGACCTAGAAGAATATGTGGGAAAATGAAATGGAAGAAAAAACTAACTTTATTTGAATGGTGCAATGCTTGAAGAATGCTTTGAAGCAACAAGGTGTTAGAGCCATTTTTCCAAGTAAACAATGTATTATATATCTGATAATGATGCTTTAAAATCATTTTATATCTTTGAATATATATTTAATAAAACTTTGCCTAGGATTTGTCTTGATTTTTAAATTAGACATAGAGGTACATGTATGTTAATGATAAGAAGAACCTATCATCTAATGATTTCTATTATTATTCAGTATTAATGTAAGGAAATTGGTCAATTAAGGGAATTAAAACAAAGTGACCACTATTAAGAGGAAGCCTCTTCTTGTGTGTATGGCTGTCCTTTAATTATACGGTCTAAAAATTTTGAAAAGTAAAAAAAAATAGCCAAACCATAGTGAACTATAGTGAACCAAAAGCTCTGTCCCATCGGAGTTCACTATAGAGGGGTTTTTCTGTATATCTCTATATATAAAAAGTCAATGTCTGTCTGTTTCGCGATAAACTCAAAAACTACTGAACCAATTGGTACCAAAATTTTGCATGTCACTTTTTATGAACCTGAGGAAAATTTTCGGCTACATTTTGATTAGTATTTTTGGCTAATTCTTTTTTTCATTTGAAAGTAACTTTTTTTTACGCTGAGTCGTCCGGAATGGAATGAATACCCAAATATGGCCATTTTTTATACGCATCGGTGGTTCAATGGTAGAATTGCTCGCCTGCCACGCGGGCGGCTGGGTTCGATTCCCGTGCAGATGCTTTTTTTTCATTTTTACAAAGATCCATTCTAGTGGTATGACCAGGCTTCGCCCGAGAATTTCCCCCGATTGCAATTTCCTTCATACTGAAAGTGCATCAATAATAAATATTAGAAGTGCCATAGAATAGCAATACAGAAGTAACACATAAACTACAGGAAAAAAGTGTGTGTGATGGCAAAAAATTGTATTATATTAGTGTTTAGGTATTGATTTAATTAATATAGTTAATATTATAATATATATTTATATTATCTATATATATAAAAATGAATGTATGTGTGTGTGTCCTTTATGCCTGACCAAACCACTCATTGGAACGCCGTGAAACTTTGGGAATTTATTTTAGTATAGTACTGGGAAGGTTTCTAGCAAATAAAATTTTTGAAATAACTTTTCGCCTAAAAATAATCAAGATAAATATTCTAATTTATTCTGTTATAATTCGACAATCTGCTCTAAATATATCATGATGATACGATGATTTTGTAATGTAGAAAATTAGGAAAGACAAAATTCAGGATGACACGGCAATTTATTTGAGACAAGAATAATGATACAATTCCAAGGCAAGATACTATTCCTTTAACTTCCAATTACCGAGGGAACCAATTAATATTGATTTTATTCAACTTATCGAGTATTTTTCAAGAGACTGGGAAAAAAATTTCACTTTATCGAGAGATTCGTTAGACAAACCTTTACTCGGGTAAAACCTGGGCGAAGCCGGGTACGTTCCGCTAGTATATAATATAAATGAGTTTTAAAAATTGTAAAAAAAAAAAATGCATCGGCCGGGAATCAAACTTGGGCCGCCCGCGTGACAGGCGAGCTTTCTACCACTGAACCACCGATTCTTATAAAAAATGGCCATATTTGGGTATTCATTCCATTCCGGATTACTCCGCGTGAAAAAAAAATTTTCAAATGAAAAAAAGAAATAGCCATCGGGGGAATTCTCGGGCGAAGCCGGGTCACTAGAACAAATACAAAATAATAACACATTCCATTTCTGTAACAAAGTATATCCGATAAATCTCACAATATACAATAAAAACCCTCCTAAAAAAAATAGAACCCTGGATATAGCAAACCTTCCTTTATTACAACAAACGGTAATTCCCAATTTTCATTCCATTAAAAATACCATTGTTATAACAAACCTTTGATTAAATTAACGAACTACCCTATAACTAACCTAATTTTAGGTTGCAAACAAAATTATAAATCTATTTAAAAACTAGGCTAATAACAAATTTAAAATTGTAATCAAGAGATTATTTAAATAAAAAAGTGCATGTTTAAGCTCACAGAACACGATTTTAAAACAACATATTAGCGGTATTGTTTGCTTACATTTACATTCATTTTTCCTGCATGTTATATGTTTTTTATATATTATACTTTTTATTGGGGGGTCGGTGGAAGGCTGGTTAAAACCGTTTGGTTTACGACCACTATGACCCGGGTTCGATCCCCGCATTGGACACTTTTTTCTGTTTAAAAAAAAAAAAAAAATGCTCCAATGGCCCCCCGATTCTTGCAAAAAGTCCAACCCACCACCAGCGAGTGCAAGTAACCAAACGGGGCTCTGGCACATTTGTAAGTGCAAAGTCGAACTGCTTCACATGTGTAGACATGTGGTGCGCTTACATTAAAAAGCAGTCGGCTAACTACCCACCATGAGTTATCATGGCCTGTAACCACGTGTACTAGGGATAAAGCAAAAAATATATATATATACTTTTTATTGAATAACTCTTTGCATTCATCAAATTTGAAATAGAAAAATGGCAAATGACTTACAAAATGAAGTGGAAAAACAGCAAAGAAAGGTGTTCTAAAAAAAAATAAAAGATATTAATAGAAAAAATCCATTATCAAAAGTTTTTCAAAGGTAAACAACACAGGCAAATTTTCAGAACATGTTAGAATAAGAAAATGCAACTTATCTACTAGAAATAAATTTTGTTTAAAAATATTAAAAATTGTTTAAAAAGAGGGAATCAACCCCAACATTTGCTACGATGGTATATGTTAGCATGCGCTTTTAGAAGAGTTTAATATCCAGCTAGTTTAACCTTGGCTAAAAATAATATCATCAAATATGTCTCTACAGACCTTACTGCAATGATAAAAGTTATTGAATGAGAGGGCTTGGCTGTACTGACTCACCACTGAGCCAAGCCCGCTCATTCAATAACTTTTATCATTGCATTAAGGTCTGTAGAGACAATATTTATTGGTTTTATTAAAAAAGAAAATAATTGCCAGTAAATTTAAGTGTGGTTACTATCTTCAGACAAAAGTACTGAAGACAAAGTCAGACAAAAAGTACTTTGGGCTGAAGATGGTAACAACGCTGTTACTGAAACGTCACACACTATTTATTTATTTGGATTTGGTCTTATTACTTTGTGTTTATAACCTATATCCAAATTGTGCCTTATCAATTTCATTGACTTCAATGGACCTAAGAAGTTATTCTTCCTATGAGCTGAAGAAAATGAATTCCAAAGTGAATATCAATGTTGATGCTAAGCCATCACTTGAAGATTCTATTTTAAAGAGTTCAGGATCTGAAGCTCTCCTCTACTTCAAGAAGTTTGAGAAAACACAGCATCAAAAGGGTGAGTTCTTTAATTAACATCTATTTCTCTTAAATTCTGTAAAATGCATCAAGTAATCCTAATGCATTTTTCACTTACTAATAGATGGAATTTCCCAAAATCTTATTCAAAAATTGAAAAGATTATCACTTGATCTTATAAATGGAGAGATTAGATTTCATTGGAAAAATATTCATTTCAATACTAAGGATATAAATTCAAATCTCAAAATGCTTGCAGACAGTATGGATAGTGACCTCTTTTGAAAAAATATTATTGAAATAAAAACAAACTACATTGCTAAACAAAATTCAAAAAAGGCATTTTAAAAAGATTGAAAGTATTTTAAAGAAACATGAATGCTAAAATTATTATGCCCAATATAAAGAAATTGATTTTATTAATGAAAAACTCTTCCTGAAAAGAAAAATGAAGTTTTCAACTCTGAAATTAAACCAAAAAATAACATCGTGAATTTAACAGGTGAAAGGTATCTCAAATGAAATTCTAGACTTGCTTAAAAAAAGGTTATAAATATACTTTGGGGGGAAATCTGAAACAAAAAGAAAAATTGGATATTATTTCAAAACAGAAGAAATATGCAAAACTCTTAACCCTAATGAGGCAGCTACTATTAGATTTTAAGTTACTAACAAACTAAAACTAAATTATAAATCAAATAATATAAACAAAAAATTGACCTCCAAACTTAAACACCTACATACAAAATATGTAATAACAAAATATGACAAAGGGAATGGAATTGTTTTAATAAAAAAAGAAGACTATAAACAAAAAATGCTTTCTTTATTGAATAACAATGGCACCTATTCTCCTATACAAAATGATCCAACAAAAAACTTCAAAAATAAATTGAACACCATACTTAAAAACTGGAGAAAACACAATATATTAATTATAGGTTTTTAAGCAAGTTGAAAAATTATGATGCACATGTTCCCAATATATATGGTGCTCCAAAGGTCCACATGCCTAACTGTCCATTACGCCCAATAGTAAACAATAGACCTTCACCAACATATGCCTTGTCAAAATGGTTAGCACAACAATTAAAATGTGCTACAATTAACAGAATGGCAGAAAGAAGAAATATAAATGATATTTATAGATATGCTTTTAATTAATTTGAAAAAACTTTTAATTCTAAGAATAATATTCATCATGTGTTATCTCATCTGTTTATCAGATAAATATATTCTTCTTATCTGTTATCTTGTTTACACACTTGATAACAGGAACTATTATAAACATGCTGTGGTAAAATTTTCTCAATCAGTACTTTTGTCTGAAGATGGTAACAATACTGTTACCGAAACGTCACACACTATTTATTTATTTATTTGGATTTGGTCTTATTTCTTTGTGTTTATAATCTATAATCCAAATTGTGCCTTATCTATTTTTAGTTCTCATTTTAAAAACTTTCAAGCTAGCTGTTTCTGCACTGCACATCCTTTGTCTTCTGCGCTCACCATAAATGTTCTATATAGTTTTGGTACTATTTATATTTGGTAGTAGAAAGTTTTTTTTGCTTTTAGTCAAAACAAACAAATACAGGGTGATCCAAAAGTCCCGTACTATTTTAAAAATTAATAACTCCGGCGAATATTTGCGCTAGAGCAATGCGGTAAACACCATTGTGTTCAGGATGTAATGGGATTTTTTATGGCAAATAATGAAAATTTCGAAATTGATTTTAGTTACAAAATTATTCGCCAGATGGCGCTCTACCAGAATCTGAGATTAAGCGGCCAAATTGTTTGATAAATTGAAAAATATAACTGATCGACACGTATTTTTCCTTTTTGAATATCAGGAAAGAACCCTAATAATATTAAATAACAAATAATAAAACCACTTGCCAAAAGTAGAAGAATTGGTTGACGATTTTTAATACAATCAGATATATGTAAAATAGGTAAATGCAAATTAAAACATGTAGCAAAAAAAAAAAAATTATATTTTAGATACGGTTTGTTTTCTAAGATAATAAATTTCTAAATTTTTTTAATTCAACTCTCTCTCAGTACCGATTATATTTATTTTAATTCATTTGAAAAATATGTATCTATCTCTGATAATTTATTTTACACTGGAATGCCGTTGTTGTCGTGTCCAATAAAGAGCCTCAGATGTCTCCATGAATCTCCATCACAGCAGCAGCAATGTCCACTATCTTGGGTGTGTAAAGCTGCTGCTCTGGGTCTATGTCAATTTTCTGCAAGGCTGCGGCCATTGCTGGGTATGATAATAGGTGGGGTAGGTGTTAGTTCCACACCAGGACAGTTGTTGCATGCCCTATAGGTTCTTGTGCCATCTGGATGTATTGTCATTCCTTATAGTTTTTTTGTTCTAAGTCTTGTTATAGTTTT